AAATTAATCTTAGTTTGAGCAATTTTAGCCTTTTTCTCAGAGAGAATTATTCCCTCTTTAAGACATTGTTTTAATACTTGTATAACATGTTTATAATGTTCTTGTTCGGTTTTGCTGAAGACAATTATATCATCAACATATACTGTGCAAATTTTACTAAATTCTTTGCTCGGGTCTTTTAAACATAGAGCATTGTCAATTCTCCTTTGGAATAATCCAGGAGCTTGTTTTAACCCGAAAGGAACAACGTTCCATTCGAACTGTCCATTTGGGCAACTGAATGCTGTTAACTTTCTGCTTTCTTCTTTCAGAGGGACTTGCCATAATCCACTCTTACAGTCGAACGTACTAAACCATTTCATATTTTTAATTAAATGAAATAACTCTTCTTTCTTAGGTAAAAAATACCCATCCATTTCTGTATTGTCATTTAATTTTTTATAGTTAATGACCATACGCCTTTTTTGTCTTCGTTTTTCAGCTTCATTTTCTACTAGAAAGGCTGGACTACTATGTGGAGATTTACTAGGCCGAATTAAATTCATTTTTATTAATTCTTCAATCTGTATGTTAAACTTTTCTCTATCTCGAGGAGTATAGCACATTGGTTTAACTCTTATAACCTTTAAAGGGTCAATTAATTTTATTTCAGCATGTAAAGCTGGATTTTTTATGCTTTTATTAAGCATTTTATCTAACGGATTTTCACTCGCTATTTTATTTAATGCTCTTTGACAGTCTCCTAAAGACAACATATAAAGCATTTGATGTTTAAATATTAAGGTGTCCATTATTCTTTTACATTGCATGGTTCGAATAAAAATTCTTTCTGGATTTTTAGTTTCACTTGTTATTGCAATGTTTTTCTTTTTTATTTCAGTAACCTCACCACGTTTTCGTAGTTTGGAGTTATTTTTCATGAATTCTTTAGATGCAAAGCTATAAGCTTTCTGCACTATAGTTATATAAACTGGTATTTCATTTAAATGTAACAGTATATAATTTATTTCCTGGACAAATGGTCTGTATAATTTTAAGAAGTTATTACCTATTAAAAGGTCTACTCCCGTATCTTGTTGGTATATAGTAGGAACTATAAATTTTTCTCCTGCTATTAAAAATGTAACATTATAAGCCACTTTTTCTAAAGTAATTACTTGTTTATTTGCAACTCGTGCAGTTATTTTTTGTTTAGCATTTTCCCATTTTTCAATGGGTAGTACAAAAGGATGTGCAGCACAAATGCTTGCACCTGTATCTATATATCCATGAAGATGATATAGTTTATATCCAGTGAATTTAAAACCCACCTTGATATAGGTGCTACTAGGGTTAGTTATATTTAACAATTGTTCCATTCGTCAGAACTATCATCAGTGCAACTTTCCCAGTCAGAGTTTGGTTTGGAATATAATTGTTTATATTCTATTTCAAATTTTAATTCATATTCTGAATCATTAAACTCATTTTCAGATTCAATTGGTTCAAAGTTGAATTTTTGCATTGTATAAAGCATTTTAACTTTATCTTTACTTTCTTTTCTTTTAGGACATTCATTTGCATAATGACCTTCTTCCTGACATAACCAACATTTACAGTTAGTTTTTCCTTTTGGGCAATATTTTTCTTTTCTTTGAATTCTTCTTCTATATCTGGGTTTGTTCATTTTATGATCCTCTTTTTTGTATTTCCTATATTTAGGAATATACCTTTTATACTTTTTAAGCTTCTGGTATTTTAGTTTCCTAGAATGCCTCTCTTTTTTAGTTCTACAACCCCATTTATTGGGTATTTCTAATAATTGAGGATCACAACATGGTTTGTTTTGATAGTATACAAGAGTCCCTCGTAATTGGGTATCTTTACATCTATCTTCTATGGTTTCTTTAAGAAGATTTACTCTTCCTGCAAAACCTTCTGTAATATGATCAGGTTTATTAGACCATTTTTTGTTCATTTCAAAAGCCCACAGTGGTGGCAGCTTATTGAAGTATTTTTCAGCATATGCTGGTCTATCTTCTTGTTTCAACAAGTAATACCATTTTTCATATTCACATGTAAAATTTTTCCAATAACAAATATCACATATTTGAATATTGTCAAGTATGAACTTTACTTTTTTCTGTCTCTCTTCTAACACTACATTTGTGTTATCTAATTCTCTGACTCCTACAAACTCATTAACTAGTAGTTTAGCCAAAGCATTTAGATACTCTATGTTATCTT